TTACAAAACATCTTTCTTATTATAACTCGTGGTCCCTTACGGTCTGGTAACTTTAGCTAGAATGCCCGCCAAAAAATATCTCCCAACACTGGCCAGAAAGATCGTGATAAAAAGTACCAGTTTTGTGAATTTGTTTGTAAAATATTCTAGATCATCACTCTCTCCTGCATTTCGCAAGATAGTATAGGAAGTTATGCGAGGCTACTCAAGCATCTGGCCTCACGAGTAGCATTATATTAAGGGTCAGCGAGGCAGAACACCAAGCCGATAGAAGCTCGGGAAGACTAGCTATGTAATACAGGTATGACGGAATCTAGCAGGTAAGACACTATAGCTTTGAAAGAGTTTGGAAAATAGGAAAGAAATAAAAACAAGTTCACTAACAGAGGTCCACATAGCGAACGACCACAACATTAGTTTGAGAAGATATCTTGCCTGGCCAGATATGCCTGATAGATCTACAAGAAGTTGAGAATAATCGGCACTGAGAGAAATTGAAAGAAATATGTGTTGTCGATCACATATCAAAACTAAGAAGTGCCAGCCGTGCTCTGCCTGTGGTAGACCTACAAAGATAGATAGACCTACAAAGATAAATAAACCTATAGGGATAGATAACAGCCTATGTGCTATTGTAATAAGAGCAATGATCAGATCCGGTATGTAAACATGCTTCGGGATAAGGCCCTCAAAAGCAAGCTAATAAACAATTGTAATTACGCGAATTATCTTTACTTTTTAAGATGGATATCTATTTACCTGAAAAGAAAATACCAGGATGGGGTTATAATCCCCGAATGAGCTTTGAGCAATGGAATATATGAGTACGTCTTCAAGACATAAAACCTGGAGAAACGCCTTTAGAATGGAAGAACAGAATTTGGAATAATTTAATGGAATTTAGAAAAGAAGATGTTCTACCTCTTAGTACAAAAAAATACCTTCTTGCTAGGAAAGTTGTAAATTGGGAAAATCGTTCGGAAAATGATCATAGTATCTGCGAGCCTATCGGCTATGCTATCTGCTATAAATGTAATAACCTTATATATAATGGAGAACATGAAGACCCTTCTTATCTTGGTATGGAGATTTATCACAAATTAATGGTACAGCATCAGCAAAAATGTATAGGCAAAACAGTTAATGAAAAATATATAGTTTCAACCATTAATTTGGTCAAACCATGAGATGGCGGGCTGATGACTACTACATGAAGTTCCACTCGATGGTGCAATAAATTCACGTTTAATTTTGGCTGACATTATTCCATAATTCCAGACGATTTTTTGGCGGGCATTCTAGCTAAAGTTACCAGACCGTAAGGGACCACGAGTTATAATAAGAAAGATGTTTTGTAA